GTGACGCCGTCTCAATTGAAATTCCTCCTTTGAAATAGAAATTCCCAACTGAATTTATTGTGAGTGTTTTGACTGTGCATTTCATCTCAAAAGTGACGGCCTTTTCACTCTCAATTGTGAGTTCAGTGAATGTGATTCCATCTGTGTTTGTTGGTAACGGAGTAACTGTGTACGCCTTTGATGCACCAAATGTTGCTGAATACCACACATTTGCTGTTGGAGAGATTGTAACACTTATCGAGTTGCCACTCAACATACTTAAATCCAAATCAAATGCAGTTGAATTGTATCTGCAATCCGGGAAATTGAAGTTGTAATCGTTTGTGACTGAAGTTGTTGTTGGCTTGCATGTGCACTCCGTGTTATCTGTTACCCCCGCATACCCAGTGTCGAATAACAAATACCTGATAACTCCATTTCGGTTGCACACTAATTTCTGGATGTATGAAACTGTGCCGTTTGATGGATTTTTTAACGCCATGTTGTACGTTATTGCCGAGTTGGCAGTGAAGAGATACCTTCCACTTCCATAGTTCTCACCAAACACATAGTCGTAATTAAATTTAAAAAGAATTGTCTGCTTCTTTGTTCCATCTATACATAAATATGAAGGTTTATCACCAACAGTCTTATTTTTACTGATTATCCACATCTGGTCAATATCTGAATATAGGTGGAGGCCTTTCGATTGAATGACGAACTTTGGTCGAATTTCAACAATATTGTTCACAACATTTCTACAATTTATTTCATTGTTAAAGCATCCCATCGAAACAAAAAGACCCTCCGGATGGGGTTCGTTCAGTTCTATTGAGCTATAATCGCTTTTCGTTTTAATGAATAAACTTGAAAGTGTAATATTTGTTGTTGAAAATACAAAACTTATGTACAGAGGATCTGAGTAATCTCGGTCGTCAAATGTTATTTCATGTGTTGAGCAACATTGTTCCATAAACACAATGTTAATACTTTCGTCTGTTGTTTGAAAATTAAATTCGTTTGTCTGAGTAGAGCACGGGTTTTGGTTATAAGTAATAACACCACTTTTTTCGCACCAAACTGCATCAACTTGAAGAGCAAGTACAATCATAATCAATAGGAACATTATTTGAAATTGGAGTTTGCACAAAAACAAAGCTTTTATTTGATTCAATGACAACATTAATTAAATTGTTAACTATAATTAATTTACTATTTTTTATTGGTGTTTCGACTCAAGTTTTTGTTTTTGGTTAAAAATAGTTGATTTTGCGTTAATCTACAAAAAACAAAAAATGATGGATTCGAAGATTAGAGTTTGAAAAGTGTTGAGAAGTATTTAAAATAAATGTCGATGTTTATAGTTTAATAAACTATAATATAGTTTATTATATCATATTGTTTGATATTTAAAAAAAACTTAAAATAAAAAATTTAAAACATAAATCCAAATTGTTGTACCATTTATTATATAGCTTTAGTATTGGGCAACTACAAAAGTTATTTATCAAACAAAGAAAACTAGAAAGAGCAACGAATTAAATGATCAAAACCATCAAGAACAAAGTAAGAAGAATGAAACTGTCGACACCCTTACTGCCATCTGGTATAATTGGTTTTGGTGGAATATAACACGACTCATTGTAGATCGCGTAGTACGAAGGAACGCCTGTCGTTTGTTCACCAGTGAAGCACTCTACACACTTCCCATCATATGCCTTCACTTTGCAATAGTCTTCAACATCACACACACCATTTTCCAAATCGCCATATCCACACACAACACACTTGTGATTCTCATCGTACGAAACACAATATGGAATATCTCTTGTATCATATAAACTGCACTCTGAGCCTTTATTGACACACCCGTTTTTGCACTTGTCATCACACTTTTCGCAGGTATAATCTTTGGTCAAGTAATATCCTTGAAGACATTCAACACAGATTGATCGGTCGTTGTCATAAGAATAACAATTGTCATTAACAATACACTTAAAACTCGACCCAAGTCGAATGGATTTGCAGTTACCACATTGTCCACAGCTTTCTTCTGTTGTAAACGATTCACAAGTGTTATCGGTGCAAGACTCGCATTTTGCGGCGTCTGTGTTCAAATAGAATTTGATTTTGCATTTTGAGCATGTTGATTGCGTTTCTGCCTCTTCACAGTTTTCAACATTGTTCACCTCACATTTCCCATCAGCGGTTCTGTAAAATCCACTCATACAGACATCACAACTTGTTGCGTCACTGCAAGACTTGCAATTTTCAATGCACGAAGTACAAACGCCGTTTTCATCTGGATACATCCCATCTACACAACCCGAGCATTTTGTATAATCTGCATTACAAGAAGTGCAATTCGAGTTTAAACACGGAACACAATCAGTGTTATTTAATCCATATCCATTTACACATATGATACATTTTGTTTTATCTTTGTTGAACAAATAACAAAATGGTACATACTGACACTTGCCGTTCAAAACAGTTTTACCAGAATTACATTTACTACACGCTTCGGAATTTTTGTAAATCATACACTCATCAATATTTCCTCTTTTGCATTCACTATTTTCCAAATAAAACCCATCAATGCACATTGTGCAACTACCATCACTATTTACAACTGCGCAGTTTGGCACAACTTCACATTTATTATCGGTTGTTAATTTATAACCATCTCTACATACACTACATTCCCTACAGTCGTCTTTGTCTGTTTTTAAACAATTTGGATTTTTTGCAATGCAGTCAATGCATGTGTTGTTCTCAGTGAAGACAGTCAAATTGTTGTAACATGAAGAACACTTCACAAGTTGTAAACTAGTGTCATATTGGAAAAAACACAATTCAACACCTTTTTTACATGTTTTGGTTAAAACGTCATACATGTAGCCATCAGAACACTTTACACACACATCTAAGAAAGGACTTTCGCAATTTTTATCTCTCCCAAATTCACACTTCCCTTCAGAATTGAGAAGATATCCCGTTACACATGTATTACATTTGTCTGCGGCGTCTTCACATGTTCCACAATAAGGCATGGTGCATTTGTCAGCAGCTAAAGAAAAGGCAATTAATAAGGCGAAAATCATTTGTTTTTTAAGATCTTTTTTAAAAGAATTATTATAATAAGTAAATAAATTGGAAGAATCTAAATAATTCCTTTTCTTTATAAAGTCGGATTTTTTATTAACGATGGAAAAAATTAACTATATATTTAGTTTTTTAATTATAATAAATAGTTTTTTTTCTTTTTTTTCGAAATAATATTTTTTTTGTTTTATTTTTAATTTAAGGTGCATGGTTTCCAGTTTTAGGGGGACTGAACACATAGGTTTAGGGTTTATTTTCTCAAAATCGTCGAGAAAACATAAGACAAATAAAAACAAGAGACAAAAGAAAAATAATAATTTTAATGATTATCTTTTTCATAACACAATTTTTTCTGTTTAGTAAAAAAGTTAGCAAAGCAAAATATCTATTTTCTGATTACATAATATTGAGGGGGAAAATGTTATTTGGTTAAAAACTAAAAATAAAAAAACAACAAAATTGTTGAAGGGAATCGGGGCTGTGTTGAAAAAATATAATTTAACCCGCGAATGGTCGCATGTTTTACACGTTTTTTATGAAAAAAATGTGTAAAAATTATTTTAAAAAATAACACACTGCATGAGAAAGCCACGCAACCAATAATAACAATTATAAACAAAAATCATAAAAACAAATTAAAATAGATATTTTTGATTAGCTTTATAAGGGAAATTAAACAAATCGCCATTTTTGCCAATAACCAAATAAGGTCTAAGTGAGAACTATTTGTATAAACAAGAAATTTATTTTTAATGTTGATGCAAATATCCCGATATATTACTACCACAAAAATATCAATTTTGATTGTTTTAGAAATCAAATTGATTGATACAATCTTTACATTTATAAAATCGGATAGAGTGTTTAAAACAAACATGTCTACCACATGACACACAAATATTTTTAACGGAATTTCGTTTTCCTTTAATTTCTTCTTTACAAATCGCACAATCAGAAGCGGTTTTTTGAATAAAAATGGGTTGTTTAATGTCATTCTTTGTAAATGTTTTCAAAAAATAAATAACAGCTTTTCTGGATCGTAGATTTAAATGATTCAATTTCCTCTTTTTAACATTGTTAATAATTAAGTGTATCGCGACATTTTCCATAATTTCAATTCTGTTAATTTTTGTTTGTGATGGTTTTTTGTTGTGTATAATTTGAGATTTCATGATAACGTACAAGTTGTTAAATGCCAGATTTAACATACAGAAAAACAAAGCTAAAGTCCACCTTCTTGTTATTTTCTTTGTATCGGTTCTTTTGGTAAGTGAGTCAACTATATCAACTCCTCCCATAAATTTGTTATAATCTATATTAACAGTGGTTCTATTTGGTAATCTTTGTGTAGAATATTTCGATCTAATATTTGGTTTTATTGATACTTTTTCACTTGTATTTACATCCACTTCGTTGGGTTTAGTGCTAGACAGTAATAGTACATTAGTTTTCTTATCAATAAAACTCGATAAGTAACTCCCATTTGAACAATGATATGTTACTAAAGACCCATCTGTGCGCTTTCCTTTTCTTTTCAATTCATTTGGTACTTCCTTCCTTTTTGAATCCAAAGTTCCTATTATATTTATGCCTCGGCTTGCCAAATATTCATATAATATTTGTGAAGTAAAATAACGATCTGTAAATAAAGTATATTCACTTCCCCAAAAAGACTCCATCAATTTAATTACAACGCGTTCGCCCAAACAGTGGACAACTTCTCCGTTGTTACTTCCTCTGTATAGAAAGGTATTAAGAACAGCATTTGTTTCTGAATCGACCAACATGAATATTTTAAATCCACTTTTAGAAGGCTTGGAAGGCATTGTAACTTTGTTTTGGTAATGGCCAAAATATCTGAATAAGTCTTCATCAACACACAACACAGAAGATGGTTTAATTTGTTCACTCATTTCTTTAAAAACGTGATTGAATGTTTCTATTATAAATGATATTTTATAATAACTATTCCAATCATATCCATATGTATATATTGGACTCGTTAAATGTAAATACTCATTATTATTAATTAAGATGTTTTTATTTGTTGATGTTGTTTTATTATGTTGAGTTTCGTATAAATCACTTGAATCATCACTAGATAAATACTGATCATTTTCAGATGAACAAGTTGAATCAGTTGAAAATGAATGAGTGTTTAAAGTTGTATCAGAAAAACTTTCTTCGTCAATTTCACTTTTTGAATATTTTCTTTTTGTGTAATTTTCATTTACAAACATTTCGAATAAATCTTGCGAAACGTGTAAGTCTTCTGCTTTTCTTTTACATAAATTATCAAAGTGAAGATTTCTCAAAATCTGTTTGTATCTTCTAAGAGACATTGCAGACATATATGCTATTCTTGCAAATTTTCCAAACCAATTATTTCTTTGACTTAATTTAGTATCATTATAAACACCTTGCATTAGTGAAATACCAATGGATGCAAACATTTCATCTCTGTTGAGATCTTTCCAATTCCGCGTTGTTAAATGTGTTGTGTTATAAATAAAAACGGAAAATTTACCATGAATATTAGTATATGTTAACAATGTTTCAATAAACCGTGGTGGAAAAATAAAATCAATAAGTCCATCCAATGACATTTTTAAAATCTTATCACTATATTCTCCACTTCTCGTTGGTCTAACTTGATAACATTTTAACACGTTTCCTAAACTAATTTTGTTGTATTTGTATTTTGTTTCTATACCAACAAGAAAATTCATTTTTTTCAATATACTCATTAGTAATAATAGTATTTGAGCCTTTTCCTTTTCTTTGACATGTTTTATTAATTGATGGTATTTGTTGTATTGAATTAATTGTATTTATATTATGATGTTTATCATCTTCCAATAGAACATTTTCTCCGTTAAATTTTGTGTGAATTTTGTTAATAAAAGTTGTGTATGCAATCGTATTAATCGTTTTAATGAAAACTTCTAAATTATCGGGATTGTGCATTAAAACAGATCTACAATCTTTGAACATAATCATCATTGTGACATAATAACAAACATAAACACCACATAAAAGAGATTGTGCCGGCTGTCTACAAAAACGTGTTGCAGTGTAAATATTAAATTCATTATAATCGAGAGTATTAAATATATCTTTTAAATATGACACATAATCAATGTTGTGATAATTTTCCAATGGGTTAAATATTATGCCTATGTTTTCTTGGCTGTCAACAACAGCTAAAACAATGTGTGTATATTGTAAAATAGGAATAAAAGTAAGCCTAAAACTCAAAATATTATTTTTGATAATCGTTGTCAAATTTTGTCCACCATTATTCATCTTTAGAAGAAATGCATTGACTGATGAAACATAATAATAACCATCACCGCTTTGATTTGAAATAAAATTGTTTATAGTTTCTTCAGTCATCCCCTCGTAATTCATTGTCAAGTTTTTTTAGTTGAAAACTGATGTTTTTAGATTAATTACTAAAAACATTCTAATTTATATTCATTTTTGTCGTGTAACCAGCAATTTATGTTTATGATATCCACAATTAAAATATATAAGTATAATTTACATAGTTATAGTAGTATATAAATTATGCGGATTTAGGGTGGACAACATTTTAACTATATTTTCTAATAATTTAACTAAAATCGCGAGGACGCGTTTTCAAATCGTTTTCAAATTTTCCCAAAATTTAGAAAACTTTTATTTTAAAAAATAAAATTGAAAACGTAACTATTTATTTTTCTAAAAAGTTTCATTTGAAATTTCATTTTTTATTTTCCATAAAATGAACACTGATAAAGAACAATACAGACTTAAGAATTTCTATAATTTTACTAATACTTATTCTGAAGATGATATTTTAAACTGTTTTACTATTAAAGCTGGAACTATTAAAGCTGCTTCTACTAAAATAAATAATAAAGAATGCAGAAAAGAATTAATCGCTATGGACATTGAAACAAGAGATTTATATTTTCATTACAAAGCAAAATTGGAAGCTCAATTAAAAAGAATGGAAGATAACAAGAAAAGTACTATTAAATTAGAACAACCATTTTTATCAAAAGTTTTCAATAAATTAAACAAAACCGATAAACAAACTTTTGGTTTAATTAATAAAAAAGCAACATTAATCAAAGATTTAGATGAAGAAAAAATTCAAAAAGAACTTGACAAAAAGAATTTAGAATGGAGTTTAAATAATATTTCTTTTGATGATATTGAAGATAATGATGATTTAATGAGAGAAGATATGTATAAAAAATTTGAAGAAGAATTAAGAATTAACGCTGAAAGGAAGAATTATTTTAAAGAATTGAAAGAAAAAGAACAATATGAAAACAATATGAAAGAATATAAAGATATGATTGAAGAAATTGAAGATCATACTGAAATTAATACTAAAGTAACTTATGATAGAGTTAATAAAATAATTAAAGCAGATTTTAGATGTGGTTTTAGAGAAAAATTAAAAAGAATTCAATTAGTGAGAGAGTATTTTATCGATTTAATTAAATCAGTTCCTTCTACCACTGAAATAGTTTATAAATATTTACTTAGTCAAGATGGATGGAAAACTTATATGTTAAATACCAAAGACGCCATTGATGAATTTCTTAATTCTGTTTCTGAAGAATCCATGTGTTTTATCAATAAACAAGAAGTAAATGATTCTATAGATTCTACTTTTTATGTTCAACAAACTATTCCAGAACCATTATTCATATTAGAATTAAAAATATCTCCATATCATTATACTGAAGATCTTATTCATCAATACAAAACTACTGGCGGAAGCTTTTTCCCTTATCATTATAAACCAGAATTTGAAATATTTGGTCAATATCTTGCTAAAGCACAAATATTCAGTTCATTGATTGATGAAAATGGAAAGGTTAGATCAGAATTTGATTTAAATTGTTTCACTTATGCTTTAAAACAAGCTAATGTCGATGATGAAACTTTAGAATTAGTATTAATTCATTGTAGAGGTCGTTATCAAAAAGCTAAAATGTTAGATGAATTATGTAAATCGGCTCATATTCGAATTAGAATTGATAGAGAATGTACTGACAATAATAAAAAACATGATAAAAACCGTAAAATAGATTATTATGGTTGTGAACTTAAAGATGCCAAATATAATTTAGAAATGTTTTTATATAGAGATTCTTTAATGAAAGGCGATCATTATATTTTGAATATTGATATTCCAATTACTCCATTTTATCTCAAAAATAGAGAAGAAATTAATAATTGGACTATTACTCATAATAAAAGTATAAAATCAATGTTTAATAAACAACGTTATAATAAAAATAAACAATGTTATGAAGTTAAACCAGGTGCTAAAACTACTATCAAATTATCAGATCTTATTTTATATATTAGAGATCATAATGGATTTGAACCTTATTCTCTTTCTGATGTTTTACATTTGAAATCTGATTTATCTGAATATGTATTACAATCATTAAATACACTTGAATATCTTCCTTTCGAAACAAGAAAAATTGAAATCAAAGAAAATAAACGAAAAGAAGTAAATCATTCTTATTGGTATGCTGATTTTGAAGCTAGTACTCAAGGTTATCATAATCCATATCGTGTTTGTTATTCTAAAAGAGGTGAAGATAAAATTTATAATAAATATGGAAAAGATTGTGCTTATGATTTCTTATGTGATTTACCTCATAATGCTGTTTGTTATTTTCATAATCTTAAATATGATGGTTCATTCCTTGCTAAATATGGTGTTAATAGATGTATTAAGAAGGGTGGTAAAATTATGCAAATGACTCTTAAATTTAAAGGTAAACAATTAACTTTCAAAGATAGTTTAGCATTGATTACAGCTCCATTATCAGCTTTTCCTAAGATGTTTGGTTTATCTAATATTCAGAAAGAAATTTATCCATATAACTATTATAGTAAAGATAATATTATTCACAATATTGGGAATATTTTAGAAGCTGATTTATATGAAACTAAACAATGGAATAAAGATCAATTTGATTTATTTATCAATAATATTGATTCAATTGAAGATTGTCGAATTGATGATTTTCATTTCAACATGGAGCTTTATTGTAAGTTTTATTGTAATCAAGATGTAAGAATCTTAAAACAAGGTCATTCCAAATTTAGAGATATGTGTTTAGAATATTTAAATATTGATATTGATAAAGTAATTTCAGCAGCTAGTCTAGCTAATACTTACTTCAAACATAATGTATATTCAAAAATAAATAATTTGAAAGAATATTCTGGTAAAGTTAGAGAATTTATACAAGGAGCTATTTATGGAGGTAGATGTATGACTAGAGATAATAAAAAGTGGTATGTAAATGATGAATTATATGATTATGATGCTTGTTCATTATATCCTTCAGCTATTAATAGATTAAAATTAGCAACTGGTTCTCCAATAGTTATTTCTGAAAATATGTTAAATAATGATTATTTACTTAATCATCTCATGGATGAACAACAATTAGAACCTACTGAAAGTAAATTCATTTCTGCTTTTCTTGTTGATATCGAAATTACTAAAGTAAATAAGAAATTACATTTCCCATTGATGTTAAAAAGACTAAACAAGGTAATAAAAACGTT